CGTGCATGCGTGAACATTTGTCACTAAAATAGTATTTGTTTTTGGTTTTATGAACCGTCATTGGTTTATAAAAACTGTGCAATGCAGGTGCTCTTATAAGATTGGTTATATTTTCTTATTACTTCATCTCCACAAATGCTTAAATTTTATTTTACTTGATTTCGAGTAATTACGAAGAATTTCATAGTTGATCTTGAGTACATAGTGGATCTATGATTCATCGGTTGGTAATTAGAGATTCAAGAATCAATTACCATTTCAACAGAGATTCTTGAGGACATTTGAGTGTATTGATGACAGATTCTATCCATTGTCTTTGAATATGATTGTTTTGCTACCATTTCACAAGAAGGAACGGGAAAATACACCAAATATATTAAGGTTTAAAAAGGAAAGGGAGCCCATAATGCAACAGTGGATTGGTCTCATTTCCCTTCATGTAAATATCCACTTAGATGCACAGAGGGTATTTGATGAAAAGGAGAATCGATTTAAGGTAGTGAAAGCATATTTAAATCTGCAAGTTGGAACCTGGCACAACCAAGAACTATCTGTAAAAGAATGTTTCCATTGCAGAAAGTTAAACCGCTCCGACTACATTTGGGCATCACTTTTGATCAGTGATTTATTCATCACTCACGCCATTCCTGAGTCCAGTATAGATAAAAACCAGGAAAACCCGGTGATTCTAGGGTACCTCAAACTGGAATCCACTCATCTGTTATCCAGATTACCCTTATGAATCACTGCTTTATCAACGTTCTCTGTTTTCTTTTTTTTTTAATCTAACTAGATTGCATGAATTAGAACGATAATGAATCTAGCATAGAAAACTCAAGGAATCGACCCCACCTTAGCCAAACTATCAATTATCCCATTTGCCTCCCTATAAATATAATTTATATATAATTATATTTATTTAAATATTACTAAACATTATTAAAATGTTATATATTAAATATTATTTTAATTGTAACATTATTCGGGTCGAGTCTGGGTCCAGGTCGGGTCCACCCAGACTTGAGAAGTGCTCGAGTCCAATATTCGGACTCGGACCCAACCCGCTAGGTCCAATTTTTAGACCCAGAACCAAACCCATGTTGGGTCTTGTGGTCGGGTCTACGTCCATTGCCACCCCTACTTTGTGGAGACACCTAACTTGAACAAAAATAAAAACGTCATCCCACTAATATAAATGAAGATGTTTTAACTCCCTTAATAATTTTGTAAAATTTTATGCACCTCTAGTGATTTTCTCAATATTTTAGGTTCATATAAGGATGATTTTTCATATTAAAAACAACTTAGGAGCATTCAACTTGTAATTAATTTTTTGGGAAAATTATATACATATCCATTATAGTTTCCGTTTCCATCGAATAGTTTTCGTTATTACCATCATGTTCGTTTTTTTCATGTCAAAACTTAGGAGCATTCAACTTGTAATTAATTCTTTGGGAAAATTATATACATTCTATCGAATAGTTTCCGTTATTACCATCGGGTCTATTTTTTTCATGTCAAAATGGAAATTTAAAAGAAAGACAACTTTACCCTTTTTAACAACCGAATTCAAAGTAATTTTAAATTTTTGGTTGTTGAAGAACCGAAAAATGTTTTCTTTGTATTATGGCGTATATTCTCTCCCTCTCTAAAATATAGTTATCCGATAAAATCAACGGGGAACAACTAGTTTGAGTCCCTAAATATAGAAGAAATCTTAAGGCTTATGAGATTAGAAGACTAGGAGAAATCTTGTGGCGTATTCTCTCTCTACCTCTCGCAAGGCTTCTAAGATTTGAAGATTAAGAGAAATCTTGTGGCGTATTCTCTCTCTACCTCTTTGAAGTTATGGTTATCCAATAAAATCAAGGGAACAACAAGTTTGAGCACCTAAATTTAGGATAAATCTCACGGATTTTGAACTTACCCAAAAACAGACGCTCGCTGAAGGTGAGAGAGAATTTTAAAAAAAAAACCATTTTTACCCATGTAATATAGAGAGAGAGGATAAAAAAATTTAGGTTCTTGAAGAACCGAAAATGAGTTATTTAAAAACTGAAATTGGCTCCACAACAATCGAAAATACTTTAAATTCGGTTGTTCAACTACTGAAAAAGGATAAAGTCATTTTTTTAAAAAAAAATTCTTATAAAAAACGAACACGATGGTAATAATCGAAACTATTCGGTAGAGCCGTAATAACAAAAACTATAACAGATATGTATGTAATTTTCCCTAATTCTTTTATTTGGTTCTCCTTATTTTAGCAAGTGGGATTAGAGAGAGATGAAGAAAAGACAAGGAAAAAAGGAAGGGTTGTTAAAGAAAATGGATACCTGAGATTAAGTAGGTAAGCACATGTATTTTCTTGTCTACTTTATGAAAGAGGTGGCTAGTTGGTGCTTATGCCCTTGCCTTCACTACTCCTAAGGCAGGTTTTGTAGAATGCGACCTTGTCTCTTAGCACCATTTCATCTCTCTATATTTTCTCTCTCTACCTTCTTTCTAAATAAAGAAAAAGCCATAATTGGTATCATAGCGATTTTTCAAAAATTAGAAAGATTTATTATGTATAAAAAGAAATCAATAAAAGAAAGAGGCAACATAAGGGAAGGTCATGAGGCCTCCATGGATATACTTTTGCATCTCCACTTAGCAGCATATTTATCACTCTTTAGCCATAAAGTCGTTGTTGCTATCATCATCATCAAGGTTTTTTTTGAACTATTTGAAGTCGGTTACACAAATTCTAATCCATCGTTCTCTTCTATCAAAAGTATCACCCCGTAAAACGTTTGTAGCAATTGTAACATTGCTAAACAACATCCAGTTAGATTGTCCTAAACAGCAGCTAGCCACGCACTCATCAGTGATTGTTTAGAGGCTACTGCATACGACACCATTCAAGGAATTTGGTGACACTGTCAAACAAAGTGCAACTTTCGTCATCCCAAAATTAGGTTAAATCTGATATTAGCGCTTCGTTTGTGTAGGAGTGAACTATCAAAAATTAAAAAAAACTGAATGGAATAATTCAATAGCGGGGGAGAGGAAAATGAATTCGATCGTAATTCAAGGAAGAATATATTAAGTTTTGAACCCTTCTGGACTGCAATTAGGCTTAAATCTCAATGCTAGAAGGAATTTTGGAAAGCAGGTAGAAGATGACAAATTAGCAAAAACAATATTACTTACGTTCATAGAGATAATTTAATTTGGGTATTTGAAGATTGTAAAGCCTCTAAGTTAACAATTGAGGTATTATTAGGAAAGTCTATCAAAAAAACCTTTACAAATGTGGAATTGTATAATACGAGACAATTTATTTTTAGTATAAAGATACCACAATTATTTTTATCCATTGGGTATAAAATACAATAGATAAAAATATGTCACAATATTTAAAAATTTTTACTTCGATCGATGTACCTAATCAATAACACATTCTTTGATTTTAAATCTAACAATAAAAAATAATTATGACCACCTTATATAAAAATAGATAATCTCAATGTGTATAATTCCAAAGTATAATATACGTAAAATGTGAGAAATGAGTTTCTACAAGAGCATGTATCAACTTTACTTGATTAATCCCCCGGCATCCTTTAGACTTTTGCTCATATTAACTCCCATCAATCAAATGTTGCATCCATGCATTCCAAAAGTCCGTAAACTTTTCATACAAAAAGACAAAATCGATGTACGAAGTGATATCTTTTATGATACGCCAAATATAGACGCTTGTATAAATTTCTACCCTACTTGCTGGGTCAAAGACTTATCGTCCGTGACCATCTTAACCTAATGTGCAAATTAGGGAAACAACATGTTGGTTGCATAAACATACTCCAACTTTAGATGATCAAGTTTATCTTCTTTTTTCTTTTGTTTTTTTTTTTTTTGGAAATGATCATCTACCCGTAGTAAGTAGAAATGGTACTCAAGAAGTTACATTGTGGCTCCCCACCACCCTGACCACCGAGCACAGTCCTAAATATTCCAATGATCATATTTATTCATTTAAAAACTCTATATCTACCTTTTTTTTCTAAAGAATTATTATGAATTCTACAATGAAAGAATTCCCCAAAAAAAAAAGTTTATATTAGGTGTCAACCTTAAGATACATCTCGAAAACCCATCATGAAAACTTGTTTCTTCACTAGAAAATCCTACAAGTAATTATCTCGACCTCGATATTGTATGGATATATAAGAAAAAATGAATCTTAAGTACTAAAAGTAATTCTTGTAATATATTATCCAAATTGTCCGTTGTCAAAATTTTAAAGTATTTATAGATCTACAATATTTTTGGAGCTTTCAATTTCACAATAGGGTGAAAAATAAATCTTTAGGCCATTACAAGAGTTTGGACAACGTAGATGCATCTTTTAACGAGATTTTCATGTGCACGTTACCATGATTGTTTAGGTTGACCCCTTATGCAAACCTAAATGATCTGTTCTACAAAAAAATAAATGCACAATATGATCCAGCAGGGTCATGGTGTACACAAGGAATTTAAAGCTGAGGAAATGCTGAAACAAGTGAATCGAAACCAGTAGGTTAATCAGAACGAGCAACTGACACTGGCCGCTTAGGGTGCTTAACCGGATTAACCCCTTTTAACTTAAAAAAAAAATTCTAAAAATCTAAAAAAATAAAAAATTTATTTGTGATAAGTTTCTAAATATTTTATATGGTTTTAGAAAATATTAAGAAGTATTTTACCATAAATAATCATTATTACATTTTTTTTATATTTTTTTGGATTATTTTTAAAATAGTCTTAGGCATAAATTAAATTTTTAACAACCTATTTTTACTACCTTTTTAATCTCTTTTAGATAATTTTGTTGAATTATACTTTCAATACATTTTTTCGTATTTTTTAAAACTTTTGGATATCTTTTTGGATATTTTTAGCCTCGTCTGTACCTATGCAGATCGAGCCGGTCGCGGACCCGTGTTGCGGTACTTTGGATCCGGTTCCGACTCCGGTTCGTCCAAAGGAGCACTGCATACAGAAAAGCCTAGAGAGCGAGAGAGATGAAAAGAGACGCCTGTTTCGTGTTCCAGTTTCCAGATGCTTTTACTGAAGAAAACCCCCTCTCCCCCCTCCCATCCCTTTTTCAGAAAATTCCATCTCTCTCCCTCTTTCACCAAGTCCTCAATTTTTCCTCGAGAGAGAGAAATGGGTTCTCTTTTTGCTCCTCTTCCCGACGAGTTGACGACCACGATCCTTGCACTATTGCCCGTGGATCACTTATTCAGGCTCAAGAGAGTGAATAAATTATGGGAAGAACTGCTCTCCTCTTTCTATTTCGGTAAGATCCTCTCTCTTTCCCTCTCCTTGCCTTCCCATCCTTCTGTTCTCTTTTTGCGACGCCGTGATCGTTGCAGCTCGATGTTCTACGCCACTGCTTTTGATCTTTCCTCCCCTTTCGTATTAAAAAAAACAGAGTTTCAGCTTAATAATATGTCAAGATTTCGCTGCAGTAATGGCCTTGTTTGCTGCCTGGTCAAAAGCCCTCGTGGAAAATTGAGCTTGAATTTGGGAAATCCTTTATCCCCGAGAAGAATGGCCACTCCCCCAAAGCTTAACCAGAGAGTGGCCACTCCCCCATATCTTAAACAGAGAAAAATGGTCACTCTCCCAAAGCATTATTTGGAACTAGTGAGTTTTGGGTTTCATTTCAACCCCATTAGAAAGAATTTCATGATTTTAGCAAATTTTGAATATCCACGTGATGAAACTGCTTTTTGGGTATTCGATTCGGTGTTTGGAAGCTGGAGGTTGCTTGAAAATCAGCCTGAAATTCAATATAAAAACTGGAAGATATCGGATTGTGTTGAGAACAAGTTCTATGTATTTTGTCCAATTATGTGCTATCTAGAAATCTTTGATGTGGAAAGGGAAGAATGGGTTGGTAAGTATCTTCCAAATCTCGATAAGCTAACCCCAATAATGCAAGAGTGGAATGGTAAGCTTTCTCTAGCACATGTAACTGGAGATTTGCAGGCCCATATTTGGGTTTTAGATGAAGCCAAAGATTGGGTGGAGGTGTTCAGACAAGATTTGGGGGAAATGGGGCTTAAAGATCAAGCTATATATGCAAGATTCTTGCTTGGGGGAACATTCTTTCTAAGTGGGAATGATAAGTATGTGACAATTGATGTAGAGACTGGATGCTCAAAAGTGATTCCAGATCATCGTGCCGGGCTTGATTTCAACTTTGTAAGGTACCAACCCACTCTTTGCACTTTCAAGAAGCCGAGCCGGAGAAGAAAGTTGAAGAACAAAGAGAAAACACACTAGTGGTGGATTTTCATTTGTGCTATCTTCTTGTACATAGTTTTTCCCTTGTGCTCTCTGTTTTGTTCTGGTTCATGGTATTTTCTTTTTTTTTTCTTTGCTTTATTTCTATGATATTGGCCTTTGGGTAAGGCCATAAAAGGAAAGGACCAGCAAGCCTGGGCAATGCTGAGTTTACTAAAGATTGAAAGAAAAATGTATGTTGGATATCAGTTCAGAATTATTAATGTAGACATAACAACATAAATAAAATTTCATCAACTGTTACAGTACTCTGTAATATGTCAAATGGTGTCACAGTGAAGATTATGGCAATCTTTATGGGACAAGATTAGCATTCAATATTATAAATCGATTGAAAATAGACTTGTGCATGAGTTTTCTCTCATTAGATCTAACCTGATGATATAAGTATGGATAGAAATGAGTTTCTCATGTGAATCTATTTGAATCATGCCTTGTTCTTGGATGGTTTTTATTGTATTTAGTTTCATTTTCAAAGAGAAGCATTGAAGTGCTATGTAGTTCGAAACTCTTTTTTGTTTACAAGTCCAAACTTTTTCCTTCCCATTCATTCCTTTCACTCTCTCATTCAAATCTCCAATGGTTAAAATGTAGCTATGTTCTATGTGTTTTATGTTAATCCACCAATCCCACAGCTCTCAGAAAAACAGAGTTCCAGCCAGAGTACATGACAATCTTTCTAGACAGTAATGGCATTGTGTGGTGCAATTACCGCATGAAACATTATATTCCAATTTAGGTGCGGATGATCAACCCGCCAAAAGTTAGTACTGGAATTCTTATATTCGGGTTTCTATGTCATCTTATTCACAATTTTGAAATCTTGCCAAATTCTCATACCCTCCAAAACAGCATTTTCGACCTCTGATTGATCAATTTAGAGTTGAAGGTTACTAAAATATCAGCCAAATATTATATAGAAGTATTGTGTAAATTTACATGTTTCAATAGCATGTTTTCTTCAAAGGGCCCAACCACCTTGGCGGGCATTGTGTGGGGAGAAAGAAAAGGGGAGGGGTAGGAGTTTCAAATTCCCAACCTATTTATTCATCTAGTAACATATGGAATTTCAGGATGTGAAGTTTGTAGAACCTATTTACAAAATCAAAAGTTGGATTTAGTAAGCCAAAGCTAAGGGGTAGATATGTATGGCAAGATTGATGAGGGATCCTATCTTTAGAGGAATTGTAAGGTAGATATGTTGACTATTGGGTATTGTGGTAATTAATGATTGTTGGGTAGTCAAACCGTCAGAACCACCCAGTTAAGGGTTACATCTCTCTACATATTAGTTACTTCCTCACTCTTCAAGGTGGCATTTGATAACTTTCTTTGCAGTTTTTCTGAAAAATCCTTTGGTGCTGACTTTTTTGGATTATGGGAGGAAGATGAAAATTGGTAGCCCGAAAGCTGAGAACCCTGTTTGATAAATTGTGATGCTGGTATTTCGACTTGTTTGGTATGAGGAAAGTTAGAAACTTGCCATCTTACCTGTTCATTATGTATTTAAGTGATTGGGTTTGCAAAATGCATATTTTGAATAAAATTTTATTGCTACAACCCATCTAATGCAGTTTGTATAAAATGTATGGTTGAGATTGAAATTTATTCTTATAGCTATGTAACTTAAGAGTGAAGAATATCCATCAACAATTGCAATTGCAATCACATCAGAACACTAGAAAAGATAAGTACATATCCATATCAAAAGTACCACGACCATCTTATAAAATATTATAAAAAAGACATATGGAACATCAGGCGATAGAGAGTAATACAAAGGGAAAAAGAATGGCTATTAATCCTACAGAAGGTATTAGCAAACTAACATAAATCCAATTGATACAAGAAAGATATGTGTTTCAATCAAGAAATCACAATCATTTAAAATCAAATAACAACTAAATGAATCAAACATGAAGTCTAGTTTCTGCCAATAACTAGTAAACTTTCAGCCAAGCTCATGAAACAGAACTTTGTGCACAAAGTACATACTTTGAACAAGCAGAGGAAAATAACCAGCTCCACTATCAGGTTAAAAAATGAGGTAGACAATGACCCTCCAAAATATTCACTAATGAAGACCTTTTCATTATATCCGCCTAATGGAGGCGGCAAACAATACGATTCACACAGCGTTTGATAAGTGGACATAGGGCTGCCAATGGGCCGGGACGCATGGTAAATCCCAAAACTACTTTGGCCCAGCCCGACCTGGCTTACTACTAACTAGAAGAGTTTGAAGGGTGAAGATACAAATAAAATAAACAAATAGAAAAATTATAAATAAATAAATAAATAAAACAGAGCTGGGGGTCTTCTAAACAAGTCGGGCCGGGCTTTTTTTTGGGACGGGCTTAACGGGCCAGGACAAAAAAAAATTCAAGCATACTGGGGCGAGCGGGCCTTATGGTAAATTTTTGGGCTTTTGGTCCGGCCTGTTAAAGGCCCAACCTGGCCCAGTGACAAGCTTTTTGGCCCAGCCGGGACCGTTGGCAGCCCTAATTTTTACTGTGGACACATCCACCTATAAAATCAGTAATTGATGGATTAATTTTTGGTTCTCAATACCACACTCTAAAGTCTATCCCGTGTTCCACCATTTCTACATCAAATCTCTAAATTCAAACCAGAGAGGGACGTTAAACACAGACACAAAATGGGAAAACCATCTGGGTTTCTTTTCATACCCCATCAAAATACATGAATTAGAAAAGAGCACTTACATGTAAAAAGGAATATGATGCACCATATTCAGCTGGTTTCTTGTAATGTGAACAAAGTTCTAAAGCAGAGCACGTTATTGGACAATATAAATACAAATAAGAAAAATCTTAACTTTTCATCAAATTAAAGAGAGAAATGGCAGCAATTTATTCATGAGATGGGAAAAAATGGACTCTAGAAAATACTTAACATTACAAAAAAGAATATAAAAGAAGGCAGAAAGGGCTAGAAAAAGCACCATCAGTTGAACATGAATGAATAGGTTAAATTTCCAGCTATAAATACTTATCTCTCTAGAAATAATTTCCGACAATATTATTTTCTCTTTTTAAAAATAAAAGACATCTCTAATGCATTGAAGGTTCACTATTTTAGTACATTAGATAGCTAAGACATCATGTGATTGAGAGTTTCGACACTCATTCAAGATAATTTATTGAAGCCCCTTTGCAGGATGTGATATTTGAGGGTTCGTCAATAGGATCTTTGTAGTTCTTTTTATTAATTTTCTTTAGTAAATTTGAGCGTGTTTTTATGGTGAGTGCTTAAGATATTTTTTTGGGACGTATACTATTCTCCTGAGGGAGCATAGTTTATTTCTCTTTCTAACACTTAGATTTCATCGTCTAAAAATCGGAGGGTCTCTATTCAATCTCAAGACATTTTTTTTTCAAGTACATGGAAGGTACAATTATGAATTTTTTTAGGAAAAAGTTTATAAACAGTTGACACCTTAAAATGTAGAATTAAGATACACCTCTAATATCTTTCTAAAAAGATTGTTTTGATGTTGGAAAAATATTTAATTGATCACCTCGTATGAGATGTATAGATATTAGGAGAAAAAGATATTCAAGTCCTAAAAATGGTACATATTGCAGCATATTATTTGGACCGTCCATTTTCAAGATTTTTATATGCCTATAGATCTGATTGATTTGTATTACTTATGAAGTTTAAAATTTTATAATTAAATATAAAAATAGATTCTCACACCATCTTAATAATTTTTTGCACCAAAATTATATTTCAAGATAAAGTTTGAAGGTACACCTTTATTCGATTGTTAAAGGTGCAACCTTATACGTACGAGATTGTTTTATTTATTGAAGTTAATCTATGGGTTGAAGAGGTTACTCTTAGGGTCCTAAAATTAATTCTAGATAGAGTAAATGGACATTCTACTCCCCTAGGAGTCATATATCATCCTAGAATTAATTCTAGATAGAGTAAATGGACATTCTACTCCCCTAGGAGTCATGTATATTTCAATACATTTTTTTGTAAGTACTTAAGATTAAGTCGTGGGAGGCAAGGCACACG